TCTGGTGTACCCCGCCGTGATATTGCTGGACTATTGCTAAAAGCGGCGTTAAACCATACTCACTCACTCACTCACTGTCGACAGCCTAGTGGTGTAATTCGTCTTGCGTCTCATACGATCTTTGGTCTGGTCGTGTGATTGACCAACCCGTGTCTACAATCTGACACGACGTGAAATAAATGAACTTCTCCCTGGGCGGCGGTCCCCTCAACTTACTTCGTACTCACAATACGTCGATACTCATCATGATTTATATAGTTTTCTCACCTCGGGCCAATGCTATTTCTACTACCGATTTTAATGTTTTTCAAATGTTATGCCACCAACTCTATTCCGACTGAAAAATAACCCATTGGAGATCAAGTAAACACCAGCGGTGTTTGTTTTTTATAGTTTTATTCCACATGTCTTTTGCGTCCGTGTTCAGTAATACCGTGATCAATGTGTGAAAAATTGTATTTTTTGTTTCTTTAACGCCGACTCAGCAATATTCCAGCTATATGACGGCGTGTAATTCGAATGTGCAAAAACTATTTCTTGCCGACCAGAATTGTTTTTTGACTTGCGGATAACTTGAAGTAGAAACATAGAGAGCGTCCCTCCAGATCCATCACTTACATGACGAGGTGATGAGGAGGCAGTTCCCGATGGTCAGGGCAGCTGTGGTAGGAATACTAATCCATCGACATATGCCCTGGTCTCCGGAGATGTGTGTCTGGGGATCGGCCCCACGGCTGAAGTCCTACAATTACCAATTCCACTTCCCAAACACCCTGTTGTAGTGTCCGCCCGCGCCATTGTCAACGCCTTTGTATTGCTAACATCAAATTAACCTTAACGCCACACTTCTGCTAATGCTACTACTATTATTATACATGCTTGCCGTAAAAGACGACTATGCTTGTCGTAAGAGGCGACTAACGGGTTCGGGTGGTCAGGCTCGCTGACTTGGCTGATGCATGTCATCGATCCCAATTGCGTGGATCGATGCTCATGATGTCAATCACTGGATTGTCTGGTCCAGATTCGATTATTTACAGACCGCCGTCATATAGCTGGAATAGCACTCCTGAGTGCGGCGTTAAACAACAAACCAACCAGCCAACTAATGCTATTATTACTATTCTTTCCATAACGTTTCACTATACACTTACTTCTACCAACTGTACTGATAGTACTTATGCTACTGCTACTATTTATTTACTACTACTGCTGGACCGCCTCCGTGGTCTAGAGGTAGAGCGTCCACCCGTAGAGCGGAAAGTCCGGGGTTCGATCCCCGGCCGCGTCATACCAAAATATGTTAAAAGATGGTACTTTGTGTTACCCTGTCTGGCACCCGGCATTAAGGGGCACGTCATCGTATCCCAACTGAGTGGATCGAAGCTCATGATGTCAATCACTGGATTGTCTGGCTCAGACTCGATTATTTACAGACCGCCGTCATATTGTACAGGTAACCTTACATTTCCCACGTCACTCACTACTGCTAATACTACTACCACAACTACTACTACTACTACTACTACTACTACTTCTACCAGACCTATTACTGCAACTACTACTATTACAACCACAACTACTACTACTACAACTACTACCACACCTACTAATACTAATACCACCACCACTAATTCTACAACTAATACTACTACTACAACAACAACAACTACTACTACCACTACTACTACCACACCTATTACTACAACTACTACAACAACCACAAGTACTACTACTTCTACCACAAATACTACTACTCCTACCACAACAACTACTACTACTACGACCACAACAACTACTACTACTACGACTGCTACCACAACTATTGTACAACTGCTGCTACAACTACTGCGATTTTACTTCATATTCGTATATCCGGCTGTGTTTCCGTGCTGACATCTGAACGAGCTCTGCTCTGCACTTGTGTGTACACGTAGTGAAATGTTACAATCCGTACCGACGGAAGTCTGTATCTGCAAAGATAAAGTTGTTATGAATTTGAATTCCCCGTCAAGTAAACAAAGACAGCCTGTGACCGTCAACTTGACCTTTTTATACACACAAGCAGGATACAATGCAAAAGTGTCGAGGTAGCCATGTTGTATTCACCTTAAGAGCATGGGAAAAACACCTTTAAGGACCTTGGCCCACTTGCACAAAGCGATCTTAGCGCTAAGACTATCGGAAGCCTATGTTAAAGTATTGAAATTACGATCATCTTAGCGCTAAGATCGATTTGTGCAAGTGGGCCATACAATGTTGTCACAGTGTAACCTCGTTATTCCGGACACCTCGACCTCTGGTGATTACTGTTTGTAGCGTCTGTTGTGAATGTATGATTGTGTTTTTGCGCATCAGACTACAAAAGTTAAGGTTTATCACCGCGGTTTGTATACACTCTAGCCAGTGGTTGATAACATGAGCAACACTCTACGCCGTTGACACGGTTATAACCGTTCGATCCTCATGAGTACACTACTTAATGTCCGTTATTCAGTTATGGCCTGATGAGACTCGTACGTGGTACGAGTTGAAAGCGCAAGCCAATTAAAACTGTGTTCAATCTTACTCGTATATATATATACGGTACATAATAATACGGGCTAGATAAACCAGTGATTGATATTACGAGCAACCTATGATCGTGGAATCGAATCCCTCTTCTCGTTGGTTATGTTTCCAGGTTTGTTGTACTCGTTTCTCGTAGTCGTGGGTTTTCATACACCAAAGTGGTAAAAGAGGTAAAAGTAAGACCGTCACCATTTTCGGGCTTTCCTCCCAAATCAAACACAGAGATATAACTGAAATACTGTTCAAAGGTGCGTTAAACCCAACTGACTTACTCACTTATATGGGAGAAAAGCAGATCGTTAACGTTAACCTCTTCGGGCGTAGGGCTGACAAACCAAGGCTCGTAATCGTGGTGTCTCGGGGATTCAAACCCCCGATTGATCCAGGTGGCAAAGGGAGGGAACTCCACACAACTAGATACGTCGTCGTGGACTACATGAACCAGTGACGTAACTAAATAGCTGAGTAACAAGTTACCGTCGCATCGGTATTTTTTCTGCCATTCAGGTGCCCTGAGTGAAACATAATATGTACCTTCAACGTCGACAGAAGTTTTGATTTTGTTTGTTTGTTGTTTAACGCCGCCCTCACCAATAATCCTGCTCTATGACGGCGGTTCTGTACATAATCGAGGACCAGACAATCCAGTAATTGACATCATGATCATCGATCCACGCAATTGGGATACGATGACATGCATCAACCAAGTCAGCGAGCCTGACCACCCGATCCCGTTAGTCGCCTCTTGCGACAAGCATAGTCGCCTTTTACGGCAAGCATGGGTTGCTGAAGACCTATTCTACCCTGAAACTACACGGGTTTTTGTGCGAGTTAAAACACAACCTGGGATAATTTCTGTTAGGACTATATTTAAGGTCCATCGTTTGTTTCGCCATAACATAATATAATGAAAAACAATTCAATTGAAAAAATAGTTTTACTACAACAAACGACAATTAAGTACACAAAAAGTCAAGTACAAAGGTCAAGGTGTGAAATATCAGAAAATATTTGACATATACGTGTACGATAATATATAGTTTTAGTTTCATCAGTTTTGCCATTTTTTAAATGAATGATATATGCCTTGCACCACAGGAAAAAAAATAGCAATATCTCATGCCGTAATTGTCAGGACATGACCGAGATGGATGTGTACATCTGCAAAACTTCCAACTGTTCAAACGCACGCACGCACGCACGCACGCACGCACGCACGCACGCACACACACACACATATTCTCGATGTTTCTATGAATGTTCGCTTAAAGTTATTATGTTATAAAAATAAAGTCACATCTCATGTTTTTCCCTTGAAACTGCTTTACATTAATAATGTAAAATGAAAATAACAAGATATTATTCATACGTTGTAAACAGAAACTATGTTGCTAGGCAACATGCGACAAAGAACATTTTAATTTGTTTAAATCTTTTTATGACTTATGAAACATATCCAGAGAACCGAACACCAGTACAGATTGTATCTGAGTTACGGTAGGATACATTATGTATGCATAGATAAGCACATATGAAGATTCACGTTTTTCCTCTAGTGTGTTATTGAATGTCTGTGTTGTCGCGTTGATTTCTACACATACAAGTGAGGGAGTAGGTTTTTACGCCGCTTTTAGCATAGTCCAGCAATAGCTTGGCGACGGACTCCAGAAATGTGTTTCACACATTGTACCCATGTGAAGGATGGAACCTGAATGTGATGCCTCTGTTTGTAAAAGTGGACGTCCTACCACATGTACACCTTCAGGGGAAACTCTGACAATGACAAATCTACAAAAACATTATGTGACACCATTATGACGTCACACTGTTGATGTTGCAGTTGCTTCTGACCGAGGAAAACTCACGCAACATTTTGTCATTATGAATAATAGATAAATTATATATCAACCATAACATGGTTTTAGTCTGAACTTGAATGCGTTGATTCTGGAAGTAGAGTTCTCCATTACCAAGTCCCAATGTCGGCTTCTTTATGTCTATAAGTCCTAGAGAGAGAGAGGGGGGGGGGGGGGGGGGGGGGGGGGGGGGGGGAGAGAGAGTGAGAGATTAAAATTACAACACTTATAAGTTCTTGCTTTGAGATATGATTTGAGAGAGAGAAAGAGATTACAAAAATAAGTCCTTGATTTGTGATATGTCAGGAGATAGAAAGAGAGAGAGAATGAAATTACAAACACACACTTATATACGTATATAAACAGTTAAGCCTATACACTATAAAATCTTCTCTGAACGTTTACATTAAGCGTTTACTTAGTTTAAAAAAAAATATAAGAACCTTCGTTCACAAATTTGGAATAAAGTTAAATTTTGAAACCGATCCCTGTATCCTATCAAGATTGCTAACTTCCTTCAATGCTACGAAAAGCTCGAAAGGGACCGACCATTTGACATTCGGAGGACGGGGGAGGGGGGAGGGGGGAGGGGGGCGATTTAACATTTGCTCACCAGATGTCCAGAACCAAACTGTGTGTCGAACATAATTGTGTCGGTTCTTTCCATCAGAGAATAGAAATATATGTTATAAAGCCATGGCTGCTGAAATATGTCGTCTCTAACAAAATTCTAAGCTGCGCTAAGGTGTCAGTCATATCAGCATCAAATTTGTATCGAACTACGGATAACACGAACTATCTTCTCGAGTTAACGAGGTTTCACTGTACAATGGAATATCACATTGCTCAACACGAATAGTCTACATATCTATACAACATACAAAATTCACAAAAAAACATAAACTGTGTCATTATAATAAATAAATGTCCCTGTATGTGTGTGAAGGAATCTGAATGATTCATTCGGAAATGTCGTCAACATGTTTAAAATGTTTATTTTCTGTCGCAGGCACACTTGGATATCTTGACGAGTTCAGATCTGAACTTTTGACAACACAGACTGTACACAATAGGATTAGCCACACTGTTAATGAAGTACGACCGAAGTCCAATGTTAAAAGCTACTTCGGCAAGGTCACCACTTCCGCTCAAAGATTTCGAATCCAAAGCTTTTATTGTCATCAGAACCAAGTGGGGGAGAAAGCTGAGAATGAAGATTAGGGTGATTAGGAACAGCATGAGCGTCGTACGAAGCGCGTTTGTTTCTCGCTTCGACAAGTTGGGTAAAACAGATTGACGTCGATCGAGTGTTCCTCTGCGCATTGACACCTTGCGAGTGGTCGAATTCTGATCACGTGACACTTTACGGTTCACTTCCGGTTTGACTAGAAATGTTGGTGATTCGGGTGAAAGTGATTCCGGTGAAGACGGGCCGCTCATGCCCGACACGCTGGAACATTTTCGTGTCTTCACGATGAGCTTCCTCGGTGGTTTTCTGGTTCCGTTTTGTTTCCGGTCACGTGGTACGTCATTGGGGACGTGACCGGAAGGGGAGATGAACCCTGTCGCGTGACAGTCGTCTGTCGCTGGACTGGTCTCGGACCCTGAGTCGCTGCAGCGGATGAAAAAGGAGGACGGAGCCTGCCCTGTGACCTTGAACCTCCGGTGCCGCCATATCCGTCTGCCGATGTGGGAATATAAAGACATTAGGCCGAGCGCGCCGATGACGAAGAACAAGAACTGTACGCCGTTGTATATGAGAGGAAATAGCGTCCCGATGAATCTGTCCTTTGTTGAACAATCCGACCCATTTACCCACGAGTAGCCGGTTGGTACTGCTCTGCTACCGTAAAGAAGAGCAGCAGGGGCAGATAACCCCATTGACACAAGGCAGCATCCGAGGAGGACCAAATTGGCCGATTTGGTCGAGATTTGATTCCCGAGTGGATTACAAATCATTTTATACCTGTCGACCGCCACCACGAACAAGGTGAACCCGGAAGCGAATGAGGAAAAGGAATTAACTGTTCTCAAAAGATTACAGGCGATGTAAGACCCGAATGTGTAGTTATGCATAAGGTCGATTATCTCCCCTGGAATGGCGACGGTGCAGCCGAGGAGGTCGAAAGACGCCAAAGCTAGGACAAAGCTTCTCGTGGTGTTGTGTTTCAACTTCCTTACATAGATGTACAGAACCAGTATGTTTCCTATGATTCCAAAGACCATTAACACTGAGAGGTAGCTTATTGCTGGCAGCATAAGTCTAGCGAAGCTGTCATTTAGACTCTGTAGGTAACGTCCATAGTCAATATCTGTGATGTTGTCGAATATTTCGAAAGATTGCGTCATATTTTCTGGCAATGACGTCACAAAGAGTCGTTCTGACGTCACAGTATTCGAGTTTAACAACAGATTCGACGTATCCGGACTAAGCAGTAAAGGACTGAATGTATCAGTTCCATCAACCTCGACATTTTCCACCGTCATTAACGTCGTATTCTCCCCCGACATCTTCAACAAGGTCGTTGTGATCTTGACTGGAAAGGCTTTGTCTGCAGCGTTATGGCCCTCTTGGTTCTCTGTAAATAGAAACAATAGAGGAGGTTAAAATGGCGAGATTGTATGTCATCCAAGATCTGTCTAGCGGAGCAATTTAATGAAGTTATTTACAGAGTAAGCTGTGTCATCCAGAGATGAATACATCTTCATCCAGACAGGGATGATGTTCTTAGTATATAGTCATGCAAGATGCTTCGAAGTACTGCACCGTGAATATATTTATTTTATGAAAACAAAGCCATCTAAAAAACGAAAATAATCCCGATATACATACAAAAATAAAGCTATCCAGCTCCAGCTAACTCTATTAAACATCGGCATCAGGGATATTATTTGTTTTAATTTAAGAGGAGAGAAGTGTTTTGTGTAATATAAGATTTCATAGACTACATGTTAGTCTGGATGCTTCGGTTCTGCATAAGATGCATTCTTGAGGCTGGCGATGCAATGTTTCTATACCTAACGAAAACATCGATTAGAAATAAATGTGGCATCTAATTTTAAAATACCATAATTTAAACTTATAATATCTACATGCTACTGTTTTGGAATCTGTTTCGGCAGATAATCGAGACTGAATGTTCTCTGGCGTTGACGTCTTATATATTTGATAGGTAATTAGAAATTGGTAGACTAAGTTCATAGATAATTAGAAATTAGTAGTTCATAGATGATTAGAAATTGGTAGTTCATAGATGATTAGAAATTGGTAGTTCATAGATGATTAGCAATTTGTGGTTCATAGATGATTAGAAATTGGTAGACTAAGTTTATAGATAATTAGAAATAAGTAGTTCATAGATAATTAGAAATTGGTAGACTAAGTTCATAGATAATTAGAAATTAGTAGTTCATAGATGATTAGAAATTGGTAGTTCATAGATGATTAGAAATTGGTAGTTCATAGATGATTAGAAATTGGTAGTTCATAGATGATTTATTTAGAAATTGGTAGTTCATAGATAATTAGAAATTAGTAGTTCATAGATGATTAGAAATTGGTAGTTCATAGATGATTAGAAATTGGTAGTTCATAGATTATTAGAAATTGGTAGTTCATAGATGATTAGAAATTGGTAGTTCATAGAGACCCGTGGTACAGGGATTTCAACCTCTGTGCGCTCTGTACGCAATGTCTCGCTACTTCTTGCTCCTTCTTCGCGTGAATTATTTATTCAGAAGTAGGGAACCGTTTCGTCTAACGAAATTCAATGCAGAAATTGAAATCCATATATCTTGTGTCTCTATACTTACTGTGCGTTAAGTGGTTTCTAATAGGATCATGCCTGTCCGTCATCCGTCTTTGTTCGTGGCCGAACGGTTTGACGTAACTGTCTTGTTCATTTTTAAAAGCTTTTTATCTGGGTCTGATAGAGTTTCGTACCCGTACGCTCCGCGTTACCAAAATAACGGTGCCATGAATTTATGAGTACATGCACACTGGTCCCGATTAACCCATGATGTGGTAAGAGTTGATCATATCGAAATCGGATCGTGACAATGCGTAGCCTGACTGATTTGTATGTCATCGTACTTATCGTTGTGTCATCGTTGCTTATGCTATCAACCACGTGTTTGCCTCACTGGGCCCATCATGTCCAGGCTGCCATGAAATTGCGTTAATATTGCCGACTGCTGTGGAGTTTGTTTGTTTGTCTGTTTGTTTGTTTGTTTGTTGTAAGCAATATTCCAGCTACCAGCCGGCGGTCTGTAAAAAATCGAGTCTGGACCAGACAATCCAGTGATTGACATCATAAGCATCGATCCACGCAATTGGAATACGATGACATGCTTCAACCAAGTAAGCGAGCCTGACCACCCGATCCCGTTAGTCGCCACTTACGACAAGCATAGTCGCCTTTTACGGCAAGCATGGGTTGCTGAAGACCTATTCTACCCCGGATGATTTTCGACTGTATGAACCATAACTCGAATAATTTCAAGTAATACATACTGAGGATATACATGTAAGTGTACGTCTGTGACTGACCCACCATCACGCAATAATGCAATGGCGCCCACATCTGGCGGACAGGATAAGGAATACATGGACCTGTACATATCTTCACGGCAATAGAGAACGTCACTGAGAAAAAGACATTTCAATGGCTTGAGCAACGACCGGTCAAGTGACCGCTGTGAAATGGGGTCAGATACCTATAGCCACACTTACTGGCCATTGTGTCCACTCCATCACAATATAACTGCCTCTTAGGACAAGTACGGACTACTTTAGCGTCTACTCGAAGGGAAGTTCGATTCAGAGTTACTAGAACGATATCTTGACTTAACATGAAATTGCAAATAAACAAAAATGGTCCATGTAGATATATCGGATGAAGTTTAAGAACAGGTTAATCGATACATAAATGAATATTATTAAGGATTTAATTAATATTCTAATGAAAAAATCGAACCAATGTTAATATCCTCAACTAATTTCAGGTGGGAAAATGCAAATTTAAGAAAGTGGAAGACGCTGAACTCTCGTCAGTTTGAAATTGCTCAAGATGGGAAGTGTTTACCCGTCTGACAAATCCTTCCTCTCTGTACGTAAACAAGCATAGTCGCACAGCCAAGCATAGAAACAGGTCGAGTTCAACCATCTTAACCACATTCCGGACCACACGTTTCCGCCTCGTCTCAACCAACTCGTACTCGGAGTTTAAATGCGTGGCGCCATTTCTGTAAGCCACATCAAATGTCTGTTTCGTATTGAATAAAAACAGATTTTGAAAGCAGATAGGTGTACAGTTTCGTGATAACTTTGCTTCATTTTAGATGCGCAAGACGCTATACGACAAAAAAACCAACTCAGAAAATTTTCCATTATGTAAGATAGCTGCGCGATAAATCATAAAGTACACTCAGCAATATTCCAGCTATATGACGGCGGTCTGTAAATAATCGTGTCTGGACCAGACAATCCAGTGATTGACATCATGAGCATCGATCTACGCAATTGGGATACGATGACATGCATCAACCAAATCATCGAACCTGACCAGCCGATCTCGTTAGTCGCCTCTTACGATATGCATTGTCGCCTTTTACGGCAAGCATGGGTTGCTGAAGACCTATTCTACCCCGGTCACCCTATACTTAACAACATAGACAGTCTTAGCGCTACGGTTGCTTTGTTTAAATCGCGCCTTGGTGTTAAATCGTTCAACTGATCAGTTCCAAGGCCTAAGCTTAAATGACAGACTCCGTCTCTGCCAAATGATCTCTAAGCTATTACTTGTGGTAGTCTGGCTGAAGACCATTGATCCAAAATAGTGTTTAGTTTCAACATTACTTTAAACGATACCAGAACGTTAATGTGTAGCCAAACGGCAAGGGTGACCACACGTAAGTTTCATATTTATGTTGTAATATAGAACATAACAACACTGTTTTATTTGAATGATTGTAAAATTATATCTCAGGCATGACGACTATAATGAACTTGTGTGGTTTCTTTATTATTAAGGGGCGGTCGGGTAGCCTAGTGGTTAAAGCGCTCGCTCGTCACGCCGGACCCGGGTTCGATTCCCGACATGGGTACAATGTGTGAAGCCCATTTCTGGTGTCCCCCGCCGTGATATTGCTGGAATATTGCTAAAAGCGGCGTATAACCTCACTCACTCACTCTTTATTATTAAACTCCCTTCTTTGTGGATATAACAGTAATCGTTCGGATAGCGAGGTTCACTGATTATATACAGAGTCCAGTCTGACTGGGTGTGAACTGTCTCTAACAGCCGATACCTACACACAGGTTCATGGTTTGATAGTACAAAAGAAATAAGGGTGGTGGGGTAGCCTAGTGGTTAAAGCGTTCGCTCGCCACGCCGAAGACCCGGATTCGATTCCCCACGTGGGTACAATGTGTGAAGCCCATTTTTGGTGTCGCCGCATTGATATTGCTTGAATACTGCTAAAAGTGGCGTAAAACCATACTCACTCACTGATAGCACAAAAACATATGATTAAATACTTTTAATCAGAACTTCAGATTCACGAGGTAATAATATCAACTCGTGTATACATACAGATGTATATGTTATCTAAATTAAATGTCAGTGCAAATTAATGTTATCATGAGGATATATTGACAAGACGGGAAATAACCAAGCGCTGGTTAGCATCTGTTAGAGTGAGATACACTGAAACCTCGTTTGACTTGATAAATACCGTTTTCGGAACAATATATACAATATATTATGTGAAACCTTATGATTCGGAATCATGTTTTTTTCTGGATCGTGTCTCTTTCTGCTGTATCTTCCGGTTTAACGGGGTTTATTGTATGTTTAATTAAACTCTGTTAATCCAGAAACTCCGCATTCCGGACAATTAGGTTTAGAGAGCAAAGAACAGGACTTCGAAATTCATGACATCATTTTGTTTAGACGGATATGTTTCAATCCGGACTATTCCAAAGTAAATGCTAATTTACCATGTGTTTTACAAATCACGACTTTTTTCTTTTTTCTTGTATGCATTAAAACTTATTGACCTTTTTACTCAAAGGGTTATATACTGTTAGACTGCGGCCTAAGCATCTCTAATTCGTCAAGGGAATACACACACGACAATTATCAATGAAGCTGATGTTTCATGTGAAGTAAAAAACCCTCATGGGAGAACAAGATGTTTTAAAACAATTTATAATGGGCGGAACAAGTTTAATTACCAAGCCTGTTCCGACTCGTAAGCGATAAACCTACAACCCCGACTGTAATTTAATCCTTTAGCCGTCGCGATAAAATCCTAGATAGAGAACAAGAGAAAGAAAAACACATGGGTCGCTTATATGAAAAACAAAAGTGTCTCTCTTCTAACTTTGGTTCATTATAAAAGGTTAGAGTTTGTTTTTATAACGTTTTCTGTGATAGTTTAATCGTTCTATCGCTCGTATATTGTCGACGACAAGGTAAAGGCCAATAAAATGCCGATAATGTTTTGGTTTTAAATCGCTTTTGTTCTGGAGGACTGAGAGTTACTTCCTCAAAGTGATTCGGTGTAGATTTTGAGT